CCGATAGACTCAAACTGCAGAAAACATGTTTCAATAGGACTTAATTAATCTTGTAGTGATTTATTTTTCGAAATTTAACAATAGCAGCATCCGATTTGGCATTTCGCTCGAAATAAAACTTTTTAGAAAGCTTTGGATAAATTAAATTAAACCTCATTGAGTTAGTTGGTATAGGACGACAACTCCCTGTAAAAATTCTGTAATCGGTTTTAACGGCAGGGTATCAGTGAAAAGAAGGTGGGTTACATTATTTTTAATATAAAAAGCAAAGAATGCAAACACTGTGGTCCGTATTAACCGACCCTTTTCAAAGTTTAAAAGGATCCTTTAAATACATTATTTAACATTTTTTCATAATAGAATTAATGAAAAGAGGCTTTTTAAGTTGAATCGCTAAAAAAAGTACTGAATACGGGCCTATGTATACCTATATTATTAACCTTAAAAAATCTTTTCACTTGTTTACATAAAAAGCCCTTACTGTTGATTAATAATTGTTCGTTACCTGCCAATTAACCCTCCCCTGTGTAGCTAATAAAACCCTGCCAATACGTTTGCGAAATTTTGAGAACCGTTTACTGAACGAATATAAGATGATCCTCGGGTGTGCAGGGCCCGATTCCTGAGATCAGATAACTCGCCCCTTGCCGGAGAATATTCCCGAATGAAAGGCTTTCTCGGGAAACTATAGTGTATAGGCAATCATCGGCCGTTCGGGGGCGTAAATATAGGGAAAGAAGTGCAAATTGGGGCATTCGAAGTTTCCGGGCTCTTCTCCTCGAAATAATAAAAAACCCTTTTATGAAATAGAAGTACCCGTACGTTTTTTTGCCGCCTATCTTTAAGATTTATTTTGAAAAACGTTTGCAATAAAAGTTTCGCGGCTTACAATAGAGCGGTATGTGCATGCATACGGCGAATATGTAAATTTCTGTTTGCTGCGAACTTGAGTGCTTCAAGCGTACTCGTAGTTTCAAACTGTGTAGCTAATTTCAATGCGATGAAAATTAAACAAAGACGGTTAGATAGATGCAAGTTTGTTCTTTGTTGTAATTGATTTTAACTGCAGGGTATAATGCTTTCACCTAATTTCTAACGAATGCCTCGTAATAAATTCATCGATGAATAAGTTAGGATAAAAGGAATTTATTACAACGAATACATATATTAATAAATTATTAAAAATGTGAACGTAATAAAACTTACTATGAGTGTAACTATGTGCCCCTTGGGGGTTCCCAGCAGGAGTGTTAATGTGCTTTCTGCTGAAAAACTAATGATGTTAATCGTCCAAAAAAAATCTTAAGGCCTCTATTCCTCGCCTTTTTTTAAATATAAGTTGTGTGGGAGAAAGTAATGTTCTCATTAGTCGAGTAATCGTCTATATTCATTAGAAAACTTTGCTTGGTTCACTTGTAGCACATGACTTGATGGCTAAAAAACTTAATGATTGGGTAATTTTATAAGGATTAAGTCGAGTTAATGTGAAATGATGGAGACATTTTTATGGCCCGTTAAAACTTTAATTTATTAATTTACTTACTTTACGTGCCCTATTTCTTATTTATTTACAAGTTTAATTGCAAACAACATTAAGCCTACGATTATCGTCTTTAAATTAATTTTACCTTATTAAATAGTTAGAATAGAGCAATTATTTTAATATAGGTAATACTAATTTAATCCCTTCATTAGGCAATTCAATTTTAATTATATTAATTTTATGTAGGTACTCGTATATCCAAAAACCGCAAATTGTTCGCTGTTATTAAATGTTGAACTGTATTTACAGAATATATCTACGTTTATTTTAAATCAGTGCTCATTTGAAAAACTACGAGAAAAATTCTCCAGTTACTTTTCAATTCGATCACGAGCAGCTTATTTACTTTGGCAAGATTTGAAATTGTGACTTTATGGACTTTAATTCCATTTTGATTTATTACTGCATTTTGAGAAGTGGCTTCGGTTATTTTTGCCACTCATAATGAGCGTAGAAGGCACTAAATCACGGGTGGTCCCAGTTAATGTCGCATATTTACGATTTTTGGTAATGAGCAAAAAAATCTGGAGTTTTTAAATTATTTTTTTAGTTTTATTAACGAAGTAACTTCCGATGGACGTTTTCGCCTATATTCAAAGAAAAATCAAACCGTTGATGATGTATTTACATTGGATTTAACAGGTCAATACACCAACACATATTTTAAAATAGCTTTATTTTCTGTGAGCTTTAAATAATCTCTGATGATTCATCTCATTCACGTATTAAGCTTAATAGTTTTTCTGGATAAATAATAACCTTAACAGTTTATAAATTTGCTTATACTTAACTTAAGCTAACTGAAAATTATAGTGTATTATTATCATAGTATTTTTTTTTATTTTAGAATACTTCATCAGATGCCTTTAGATAAAGGACGAAATTTCGTATACGTGGTGAGCAGTTTCTCGGAAACTTCGTCGATTCAATGGGGCCCTTTTGCTCTTTAGTGAAAAAGAAAACGGCCGTGTTTGGAAATTTACGATTTCCTCAAGGCGTAAATTTCGAAGCTGTTGGTCTGGAACGCAGGAGTTTTTAACAGATAAGCTCATTTGTCATTGATATCTATACGCATTCGGTCGGCGGCGATCAAATCCCGATGAGTAATTTCGGCAATTTCACTCTCTCCCTATAATATATGGCTGTTCAATATTACTTAGAATTCGATGGTGCCTCTATAATTCGAGGGAACATCTTTTTCATTATGTGGGAATAATGTGTTATTCGATTTTAATTCCACGATATGAATACTAATATTCCGACAATAAAAAATTTTACACAGAAAATTTTTATATCGAACGTATCTGAATCACTTCCCATCACATGCTAGATTCTGTTTCCAAGAATAACTAACAAGTTTGAAAATATTTTTCCGAGAATTTTCGATCTTATAGATCTCAGAGATGACAAAAGCGAATTTTTATTACATTTTCTCTAAGGCGGATTCAACGTATAAACGAGCAACGAACAAATGGAGATTTACGGTCATTTCAATGATATTAACCCTACAAAGGACTAGATAATTTTATAGGATTTCCACAATATTTGAATCATCTAACATTACCGAAACTTAACAATAAACAATATTGTTTTACTTTTAATTGCTTAAAAATCCTTTGCAATTAATTACAATAAGTACGAAATATGATACACAGCGCAATAAAATTGCGTTCGTATAGTTTATTAGGACACTAATGAGATGCTATCGTCAAAAATTAAATCAACCCCATTTCTCGCAATGTTATGCAAAGATTAATGATCCAGATAAGGCTAAATTGGAATAAATTAAGGCAAAATAAAAATATGCAATTGAAATAATGGTTACTTTTTATGTAGATAACACATTTCAGAGTTAAATAATTATTCTCAAATGAAGGACTCGCAAGTAAGATCTTTAAATAATATGATTCACCATTATTTATTTAGCAGTTCACTCAACTCACTGAGAACGTAATATGACACCGCGTTTATTAAAAAGGGTAAATGCCGGCGCCGCTTCATATCGCATATGGATCTGTGGTGTTAATTACACTTTACGGTAATAATTAATACATAGGAAAACTCGGTATAGAGCTTTCTTCGAATCTGATACATATTTCATTTCACCCGAAAACGCACTTAAGCGCCGCGCAGATGTTCGCTTAGATTTTTAACAACGCATTTTGAAAGTATGAGTAATAATAATTTGGTAGGGCAAAGCTCGCATATGGAGAGCGGGACATTGGATAGGCGCCTATTGGCTCAGAGCTTTTGTAAATTAAAGTTCGCGAAGCCTTTGGAATAAAGCCTATAAAAAGAAGACTTGTACAGAAAAAAGCAATTTTTTTACTTAATAAATCGTTTGTAATCGTTATTAAATAATAAGTGTCTTTTCATTAAATGTAGGATGTAGAACTGATGCATTTACTGTACGGTTGAAAAGGAAGTGTTTATTTTGAACTATGTATTATTGTGAACTGTATCTAAACGAGACAGAACCTTGGAGTAATGATTTGATTAGGTATCCGTGAGAAGCTGTTCTTAAAAATATTATTAGGTAAATTTGTAATTTAATACAAAAGACTCGTATAAGAAGAGTATTATAAGAATATTTTTTATATCCTTAGTAGGTACTTAAACGATTATTAAAAAGTTTTAACATTGTTGTTGGTGTGCAATAAATGGTGTACAATTGTCGTAACTGGGAAATAAATTCATTAAATATCACTTTGAAATTAACCCTAATAATCTTGTTTTATTGCTTAGGATTTTATGATAATTTTGGCTCAACAAAACGTATTTTTTTAATTCGCGTACAATGTTATAGGACACTTAATTAATAAGAACCTTGTTATTGAGAGTGTCAAATGAAACTAATTTCAACGCATTACGATCGAAAATACGTTTATAAATTCTACAGTAAGCACAACGTTGGTATATTGCAGATATACGAGAACTCCATAAATTAAACCCCAATACGAAAAATTTCCCAACATTAATTTTATTCTCACTGCCTTCTCCAGCAATACTGCAAGGTTTTGATAAGGCCGGCCATTAATAGAAACGTTCGTGAAATTTTATGGTGCTAAATAGAAAGAAGGAGTTGGTGATAGATAAAAATTATCCTCATTATTGACTTATATATGTTCTAATAAAATTTGCCGTTCCGTTAGAGTCGTTTTAATTTTCTTAAATAATGACTATATCGTAAAAAGGTGTTCACATCAATTATACCAAGACCGTTCCTGCTCGGTTCGTTATGCACCCTTATATAGCGGTTGTGAAGAATCACCCTAACCGCATCTAACATCCAATCATCACAACAAGATCATTTACTGACATTTACCTTCACTAATGGCACTATTTACGCTACAAACATTCGAACGATCTAAAAATACCTTACACACGCAAAAAAGAGTAGGAGTTCCCGCTCGAGTCGCGTGCATGATGGCTTAAAATCCGACTTAGCTTAGCCAGTGTTAAATGTACCCTGCGGCATACGGAATCTACATGTGCTCTAATGATGAGATTTTCAACAACGCGCCGGTTTCTCTATATTGCACTCCAATAAGCCGTCGATCGTTTCATTGGAAGTGCGACCATTTCTCGCATGATGGGTTAGAGCCGACTCCAAAATGCCGCAAAGTTATTATTCCGGTTGCAACTTGTTGGTGGTTTTTGTGGTTTTGAACGGTGCTTGGTGTTTGGATACCAAGGAATTTCAAAAAACTTGTAAGTAAAACCGCCAACAAATATTTAAGGGTTTCTATTATTAACTGAGACAAACAGTTAACTAGGACATCTAGTTAGGTTGGCCAATGCTCTTGAATCAACTTATATTGGATCGAAGAAAAATTTATGTCTTACGTTTTAAACTTTCTAGAACAATCAGATTTATGAAAATGGTTTTATTAAGTTATCACTGTTTCTATTAAATGACTTTAAATCCATAAATTAATATAAAATTATCATTGGTTAAGATGTAAGTTAGGTTGGCACAGGACAAAACGATGTTTTCTTATGGTTTTTGAATATAGCCCAATTTTCTACGTACATACATTCCAGGTAATCGAACGTGTCAAAAAAAATAAATAAGATATTTCAAAACAGGTGACGATAATCTGCAGCTTGCCAATTAATCCGAAAATAAATCGATACATCGCAAATAGTCTCATAGTTGGGATAAACAAAATTTCTGGGATTGTTACGCAGCGTCGTAACTTGAAGATGTATTTAAAAAGAAATTCATTTCCCATCTTGCCGCAGCTACTTTGAAATGAAAAAAAATACCTCTGCGCCCTATAAACGGTTTTATAAATGAGGCACAGGTGTGAACGACCAGAAACTTTCAATCTAAATAAAGTTTGTCCAAATACAAGCCGGTGTAATAAAACAAAATGTTTGATGGACGCTGATGCTCTACTCTTCCCCACACACATTATTTATAACATGTCTTTTAAGAATTTAGAAGAATTTATAAACATCAAAAATCTATTTAGGAATACCCTTCCAATATGCGATAAAATTAGAATAATTATGTAAAAGCGGTTACTAATTGGAAACTATAAGTCAATATAAAAACTATAACAAACTAAATATTTACAAATGTGACATTAAAACAACACATAATAAGCCCTTATTATTGTTTCAAAGAAATAATTTAATAACAATCTTTGTTATTTTTATGATTATATCCACGCATTTACTTCACATATGTGCTCCTTGTTTTGAACATTACAACACTGAATATTAAAATTTGTCTAAAGTAAACATGCCATTAATGAAACATTATACAGATGTACACTGAAAAAATTTCAAAACTTCATTTTAACAGGCATTAATAAGAAGAAATTTACAACTTTTCTGAAATGAGAACCCCTACTTACAATATACCTAATATTTTAATTTTAAATCTAAATTAATTGGCTTTGGTACGCGAAGAGTCTTCGCCGAAGACCCCTTTGTTTCAGCTGCACATTTTAATTCCATTTAATAATTCACCATCTGTTCAAATACAAATATATACCCTCCGTCAATGAAATGGTCGTTTTTTTAATCGCCAACGGTAATTACAAAACAAACAGGAGTCTTAATTGCAATTATTTTAATTGGGTTTCTGATGTGAAAAAAATGTTCGTGGTTCGGAAATATCGATCACACTATATTGTCGTGAGCTTATTAATGGTTACGGAAGGTATTCATTATGTCAGCAGGTTTGCGTCAATAAAGTGACATTTATGGCAGTTGGGAATACACTGAATATTTAAAATGCCGGAACTAACTGACTGGCAGAGGATAAGAGGAATGAGAGGAAATCCTGATTTCACAGACGTTTGTGCCATAGAAATCCGGGAGTGAATTTCCCCGGTAAATGAAAACGTAATTAAACGTTTTATACCTAATGTAAATTAATTAATGCATATGGTATAATATTTTATAAATTATATTTAAACGAAAAAAAAAATATTGGATGTAGTTTGAAAACAAACTTCTGTTTTGCCATAATCGTTAACTGAAGCGTAAGTTGGCATTTAGATCTGCAATTTTTCACTATATTTTAATTTCACCTTAGTCGCATAAATATGAGTTTTCGTTTTAAAAAGTTTTGATTAATTTTGTTTGGGTGTGCGTAGATATAATATTTGAGTTATTTATGCCTATTCGAATAAATTTGAAACGATTAATATGTAAGGACTTTTTATTCAAACTACTAGTTATTTTTAATATTCCATTTAATTTTCGTATATAAAAATTGAAAAATTAACCTGTAAAATCTGTGTCAATGAAATTAATTCCGCATCGTTGCAATTTTGAGTAAAGAATACGTGCATTTGATTGCAATACATGAGCTATAATTACCGTAAACCCTTCAGTACCAATCTTAATTTCGACAATAAAGTTAAGCCGAAATACTTGAAATACTTCCATAAAATATGATTATAATGCGAGAAAGCGATATTTGCTTTGAACTTGGCATGCTATGCTATCATAAAAATAGCCGAAATGGCTTGAGATAAGTGCTGAAACAATCATTCGCAATTACTTTAAATATACCGTTTACATGACAAGGAAACATTTACAAATTTTAACAGCTTTAAATTTTTTTTATATTTTTTGTGGTACACGTAATAATATTATTAGGTAACTCTCAAGTTTATATTGAAGTATTTTTGTTTACGAATACAAGTTGGTACTATCAACTGACTATAATTTTTTTTCTTATATACATGTAGGTATTATTGCAAAAAAAAGTACCTATACCTGTCCGTATTATAAAATTTAGGTAACAATAAATTTACAGCATTTTAAGTTCTGCAATTTTAGGATTAAGAATGTTGGCAAGGATTCTGTACGTTACGATACACTATCTCTTGGCACAAAAATCGGGGTCGCTAACCATAAAATAACATTGGGAACGCTGGATTTTCAGTTCACTAAATGTGACGAAATTATTAATGTTTCCCTTCAATTTCATTATTATTTCCCTTCTGTTTTATGGCAAACGGAGTCCGATTCTGGCAAGACTGCCGAATTATCCCGTTTAATAACCACTCCATGTATTTGGAACAACCGTTTCGTAACACTTACAGGAACTTGATGTCTGCCAGTGGCCGTAACTTCCATTAGAGAATCATTTGAAGGGAATTCGAAGCTAGGTTACACGTCATTTCGTTCGAAACTGGATACACTTCTAAATACAAGTATTAACCCTAGTAAGGCAAGGACCAAAGGGCTGTAATACAAATACTATATCCTGACCCTTGTTTTTAGTGATCCCTTTAATCAGATGGTTAATCTATTGAAAATATTGAGTAATTTCGAGTGGTTCCAGCGAAATACGCTTGAAAAGCGTGGCGTTTAGATAACATAAAAAAGTTTTGAAATTAGCTATTTACATAGTTGAAATTCTTTATGAACTATTAACTTACTTTTACCAAAAAGACGAGCCACGCTTGTGCATAGTGAAACAGACTAGATTCGCAGTATCTACTTCCGCGGCAGAAGGACTAAAGACCAAAAAGTTACCTAATCCCTACATTCCAGGAATTTCCAGACATAATCCATTCCCCATATTAGAGTAAATGTTTGTTAAACACACATATGTTACACTACATTTCCGCTGTTCCAGCACGCCCATTCTCCTATCCATTGTCACGGCTTTCATGGAACAATGCAGAATTTTGCTTATTGTTCCTGCTATAACTTATGACGTTCAGGCTTGCGCGCAGAACTTTGTTGACAAAAACCGATTCCAAACGGAAATACACCTGATGGTTATGCAAATTTGATAAACTGCATGCGTATATTACCTCACCGGACTGGACGTATTTTTTGTGGATCCTGTACAAAACACGCAAACGTTTAAGAAAAGTATTATTAGTATAAGCAAATTGTATATTGGTTCGTTTACCTTGTTTTTAAAATATAACTTCTAAGCTGAACGACATGGATTATTTAGTTGGAAGTTTTGGAAATTAAATGTAATTGGTACAAAAAGAGAAGAGCTTCAAAACTACTAAAATTTTCATGGTTTGTTTGGCTCAAACTAAAAAAAACTTTAGTTCCTAGCCGTATTCGTTTATATTTTGTCAGTGTCACTTATTTTGGGAGCACGTAAATGACACTTAAATTAGACCGGCATTTTTAATTTGGAATGATTTCTGTCGGATGTAGCAAGAATTCCTACAAAAATAACTTTCGAACTGACTATGCGGCGCCTGGGTAATAGTTGCGTCCTGCCAAGCTTACAGTGATTAATATTAAAAATTATCCATAGTTTATAAATTGGAAACCTGAAATTTTAACTACCTTGACGCTTAGTAAACTTCAAACATCTAAAACGTTTGTTTCGAATTCACAGAGTTTTATTACGAAAAAAGAGAATGTAAAACATGTGTTCTACGAAGCAAAAATACCATTAGTAGTATAAAGATTATGTTGTAATTTTAATTAAAAGCATTTGAACTAATTAACGTACTTACATAATTTTATTAAACGCTATTTCTGCTCCAGAGTAAATCTAATTAAAATGCATTAGTATCAAAATACAGCTCGTGAAGAATTTTAATCATCAACAAGTGCCTAAAACATACTGTAAACACATTATAATTTTATTAATATAAAATTCTTGGCATGAATTCGAGGAAATCCAGAAGCTTGTCGTATTTTACTTCGTGACTAACAGGATTATTATGCAGATATTATAAAATAGACAATCTCTGAGCCAACAATTCGAACATTCACTTTCGTTTAAAGAAAATACGGAGTAACAAAAATTTTTAGTTAATTCATAAAATAAAAGTCGTACATACAATTTCCACCTGGATTTTCAAACGCAATTCTGAATAGTTGCAGCCCCTATAGGTATAGGTTATTGGATTACACATTTTCGGATTTTATAATGCAAAATTTAATAGCCGCTTTAATCCGAAATCAATTCAAACTATTTGGTAAAATCTAACAGAGCGTTATAATCTCAATCCGAATTGGGGAGCATTAAATTTTAATGAAGCGTTAATAATACCAATATAATAAGCTTAGAATCATGCTGCCTATCTCTGATTTAATTTTTCACCTGATTATCCCGTAACGAGTCATTTCGTACACAACTTAGGAAATGTACGTACCTACAGGAGTATAAAAGAGATTGTGGACTTTAGGGGAGTTTATCCTCTGACCCGCTCAATGATTATGGGTTTGAATGCACTATGCATTAGAATTTTTAAGGCAAACTTCGTACCTACATTGTTTTTAATAAAAATTCGATCTAACGAGATAATTCTGAAAATACTCGAGCGAAATACAAGCTGTGTTTTGTTAATCTAAAATCAATTCCGATTCGAGAAATCATTGGAATCGAAGCAGCTAAGTAAACATGCAGTAGGTTTGACCAATGGACAAAAAATTTAGGATCTCCCTGCGAACGCTTCCACAGTCGGTTGGTCGCGCGCCGATTTTGGCGCTGCGCCCGTTTCGAGAGGCATAAAACGGGACGATAAACACGGCATGTGGGTGAGCGGGAGCCGCGGCCTCGGACCCTCTTCGCTCTAAAATACGAGGCCGCGCTGGCGAACGTTGCGCTGGAAAGATGAAAGGTGATTACTTCTAAATATATGCATTGGATAATTTTAGTTTCCCCCTCAGAGGAAACCGTAAAATGTCGTTTGTAATGCTCGGGAATTCTTGTCACTGGTTAGCTAAACGAGTTTCCATTTTTTAAACTTCTTCATATCAAAAATTCTCATAATATATAGATGTATAAGTACATTTTAATTTAATTTACGCTTATCAGTCTTATCAATGAGCTCGTATCAACTACGAGTATATTTCCTTTTTCGAAAGTATACATACATTTTTACTTGGAAACTCGAGAATATAAAAACTATGATGTATGAAGATGTTCGTGTATTTACAGGCGAAGAGCCTGTAAATATCGAAGTGAGCTGACTTTCATTACTTAATGGCAGTGGCTCAGGAAACACAGCGTTTTTGTTTACTTTTTTTATTTGCCATCGAAAGGCTACGATATACTTCCGTACGGCATACATTATTAATACTCCAATTATCTTCTTCTGGGACTTTAAAATTTTCACGGACATGCGATTGTTAACAAAACTAGAAATAATAGCATTAGTTTGTATCTTTCGATCTAATAATGTAGATGTTATAAATTTATAAAATATCGTGTCACGGCGCTCCCGTTTTATTTTATTGGAAAAACTTGGCAAATTCGCATGAATGTCACCGGATGTTTGAAGTTTTGAAAGATTAGTCACAAAGGATTCTTGAAATTTATTTTGTTTTGTGCTCGTATGAATGAATTTAAAATACCGACGTTTCCGAATCGCAAAACTGTTTACACTCTGACTTATCCAATTCTTTCATCTTGAATTTCGTTAATTAAAAATCAATGTATTCAAAGATAATATTTACTGATTATATTATTCGAGCAAAAGCTACTTAAAATACCTACCCCTCTTTTATATCTACAAATATATTTACACGCTAGAATTTATCGCATAATAAATCTGAAAGAATGCCGCCTCTTATTCCAAATTCGAGTATTTTCGTTTTCCCTCGGCGTAACTATTTTTTTATTTAGTACAACACATTTTACATTCAGCCTTGCATGAAGATAAATGACACATGGCTGTCTTGTCACGCCAGGTGCACATTTAGTTTATTTCGGGAAAGAAAGTGGAATTATATATTTTTACCGTTGCATTGAACTTGTAGATACGTGCCACTACCATTCCAATAATCACAAATATGTGCTATTAAATTTCAATCAGAAACTAATGAAAAGTCTCAGAAAAAATAGGTGGTTCTCCTTTAATGCCGGCGAAAACTCCGATTTCAACTCCCGTGAACGTACATACATAGATAATATACTTTGGTTTTCTCTGGTGCATTTATACCACGAAAATCTCTAAAAATAGGAACGCACAAAGATACATACAAAAGCATTAAATTCCTCGTAGTCTGGAATCCCGGCTAAAAGAGATTACAAAATACCCCGGTGTATGAGTCATCGTGATTGTGATTATTTTCAAAGTCAATTCAGTGTCGCCCGACGAACGAAATGTGATAATTAGAGTGTATTAAAGATTTTTTTATGTAACTCAGTTGATAAGAAATATCTGCAGTTTGACAGGCATAATAACCTTCAAATAAAGTAATAATCACAATAATTGCTTTAAGTTGTTTTTTATGCTCTTCTGTGATTCATATTATGATTTGAAAAATGCACAAAATAAGCTCCGGAGAAGCTTTGAGACTTTAAATAAGCTTTTCAATCACTTAGCAAATCTTGCTTGTAAGCAAATTCGTAAGTAAGTTGTATGTAGTTATTAAATTATTACATAACAAAATTATGGTATTTCGCTGTTTGAAGAAAATTCACAAACGCTCTGTAAACATCTCATCAATATTATAATGCAATCCGAGTAATTTGCAAAACTCAATTATCTCAACTCGGTATATTCATAAGACCTTCTTCCCCGGATCTGGCGGTGAGAATAACGAGCAAATCTGATGAAATGTCTTACAGGTCAGGCGTAAAATGAGATTAAATAATCCCGAGTTTGTGTTAATTACTAGAATCAAGTGGTCCTGTTGAAGCTTGCGTACGCGCCGTCCAGATTTCCTAAATTAAATAATTCCCATGAAATGACCTAGGACCAATGTCTCTCCTAGGAATCCTGTCGTGAGCCGAGGATTAGGATGATTACTGTAATAATTACGGAATTATGAAATTGGAGTCATCGGGTTGAGCTGCGGTAAATTAGCTAATGTTTGTGCGGGTCATTTTGGATTTAAAGCGGTCGAAACTCAAACATTAACCGTTCATTTTACTGCTCAAATAAATGTAAAACTTAATTAGAACAAAATTGGAAAATTATCCATACCTACGGATGGTACGGATCGACTGGAATAGCTAAAGGCGCAAAGTTCGAATGCGCAATACTAAAAGTATACTAAACCTATACTCAGTGAATTTCTATAAATCGACGAAAAAGGGTCAAATGCCATGTTACAGTTTTTTTTTGTATTTAAGAATGTGATAAAGAAAGACTTGTCGTAGTAGGTAATAAAACGCTGTTAAAAGAGAAAATTAAAATGATAAAGTTTTCGGGGTTCCCAAGGTGAAAAATATCTCATTCACGTGCGACCGACTTCTAATATCTGTAGAATTATTACTTCGTAAAATTTGTGGAAATCCACGCCGAACTTCACATGGGTGAACATCGCGAATAGAAAGGGCAACTTCAAAATTTCGCATTCATTTTAAATGTTCGCGAAGTGTTCTACGTATCTAAAATTGCACTTTAATAATCTTGGCTTTATTTTGGGAAGTCATAAATTTGAGATTTTCAAGTTCCGGCGTTATAATTTATTCAAGTACTATGTAATTTTAATCCAAAGCACCAGTAAAAAGTTATTATCAGAAACGGAATAGCGGGCTTTTGTGCCGTTGAATCTATGATGAAGTCATAATTATAAGAAAAACAGGGAAAACAGCCTGTTTTCCTCGGTGAAAATACAATAACATGAACATAATACTTCCTCGCAGAAATCCAAATGATTTTTTTTCTAAGCCATCATAGGGCATTTAATCAACTAAGTAATTTATTATTAACTACACTCCTCGGTAAAAAAAATCATCCGTATTAAGTTTCGCGTTCGTTTCACCATCTAATGATATTTTTAAGAATTTATTTGCAGCATAACAAATATACAGTGAAATTTTTTTGTTTTCTGTCGGTGCGTATTAGTATTGTTACACATAAGAGAGTATAGGGAATGTACTATAAAATATTCAACGATATTTATCGAACGTAACCAAAATCGAAACTTGAATTGACCATCAATTTTTAGGCACGCCCAAAACGAATTTGTTGTTTTTTATTCGCAAAATCATGACAGTCCTAAATTTACGGTTAACCGGACCACACATTCGTACAAAACAAAGGGAGCTTGTATCGTCGATTCCATTCAAACGTGATACATATCCCGTTCGATTCCACTAGCGATGGAAAACATCGCCTAACAAATTTTAGTAAACGACTTTTCGCCCAGCAAAATAAGTCATTTAACAATGGGAAAATCCCCAATTATCCAATTATCCGATGTATTTCCAGTTCAGACAATATTTCAAATAAAAATTGGCATTACTACATAAAAGCATTATATTAATAATTAATAATTTAAACGTATTGTCACGGACATAATCACGGAAACATCGAAAATAAACATTTCAGAGCCTCAGTGTTGATACAAAAATACACGAATATATCCGGGGGCATCACTCCATTTCAAAAATTAAGTCCACTAATCGTCAATACAGCTTTTGCATCATGTTATCGCAGACTGTTCGTAATTCTAGTCCCATTGGGAGCTCTTTCAACATGACATGTGATGAAACTAGCTTTCCTCAGTTTCATTAAATTGTATACCCAAAAAAATATACTGATGGAAACTCTGAACGATACTACTGTATTTTCGAACTATATATGTCATATTTAGGCATATCTAGACTTGATTAAAAACCCCCGGGATATTTATTAGTTGCGCATATTCCAATATTGTACACTAACTACCAATATACAAGTACTAGCAATTTCTTCACTCCTTCATTACTAAATCGAGCAATGCATAATGATCATAATAGTTTATTTACAACAATTTGTATTTAATTTAATCAAGTAGTACTATTACTTATAACTATTTAGTTACCACAAGTTAATTTTTTTAGTACCTGCTCGACTGGTCTGGGGAGTACCTGGAAAAGACGCTGAGTTGCCCTGTGATATAACTCCAGCCCTACCGAACGATAACGTTACAATGATTTTTTGGTTCAAAGATAACCAGGGAATGCCACTATATAGGTAAGGATCGATACAATTTTAATAACCTGCATTTCAAGAAAATTTCACTTATCGGCTAAAATACAAAATTTATTTTTTCTAATATCCAGATACATTTGGTCGAAATATTTAGGGAGATATTTAGAACAAATAGAAAAGTAATTAACATCGTTGAGAAATTGCACTGAAAGTCAAACTTTATAGTCAAATACCAATTGGCATAGTTTTATTTCCGGCGAGTGTATATTTTCGTTGAGCTACATTTATAGATATTCTCTTCCGCTAAATTTTGTAAAAGAATAGTCATTGTATGCAATAAACTTAAATCAACGCCTGATCGCTAGAAGCGATTTGAAAGCACAATAATACCGAAAGTTCGTTCGTTGCCAACAGTATTTATTCAGCGTTCAATAAGAGTTTTCATTTTCCCAAATCAAACCGGCTCTTCTAAACTTTCTTGCAAAACATACAAAAGAAATCTGATCAGAGGAAGTAATGCATGTGTATTTTTCTCTTTGAAAATATGCCAACGATCGATGCGAACGGTGTACAGCATTTATTTTAAAAATTGCATATCGATCAGAGCACATATCCCGGAAGCAAGTCAAGGAGGATCCGGAATATTTAGCCGCACTACGCGCTCGTAAATCAGAGATTTCCAGAGAGTCAGGATGGCAAATTGCTGAGTTTACCACATTTGTTGGTGAACTGAGATCGACAGAGACGAACTACACGTACTGGTCAGAAATCACAATAATTTCGTTTTAAATCCTCCTAATATTCTATATTTTTTTGTTAATTAATTAAACATTTTGCTGCAGCTTGGATGCACGTCACGGGCCTATCAGCAAAGCTTCGCATTTAGCTATGAGCGATGATCTTGGATCCCGGAGCTATTTTATTACAGAAGATGAGTCCGGAAAAGCGAGGCTTCGTATACAGAACGTCAACGTCAATGACGAGGGACTTTTTAGATGTAGAGTAGATTTCGTTAATTCACCTACCAGAAATTATCAAGTCAACCTAACTTTAGTGGGTAAGGAATATTCTGAATACAGCGAATACTTCAGCTATACTGTTGAGTATTTGGTTTTAACTGAATTTGCAATGAAGCTCGGACAATAAAATTTCATTAATATCATTGTGTACAACGAATCGTTATATTCTTATTAACGGTACGTGTACAACGTTTTATAGAAGAGTTTAATTTCAGCACAACCGTCAGCCCCGAGAGTATTTGACGCTGAAGGACGTGAAATTAAAATCGGCCATTCCGCAGGACCTTTTTTAGAAGATCGTGAATTGTTTTTGTCCTGTCAAGTAACCGGCGGTAAGTGGCATTTTTCACCAAGTCGAATTAAAACCGACCTTTGAGTATCTGTCACGAGTGCCGGGTTCGTCTCTGTCGACTCCGAATTCGACTTAATTAAAAAACTTTGCGCCCCATGAAAGGTCTAATAATGCTTGGCATTATTGTATTTATTTGAACTTGAGTCAAATTTTAGGCCGCCCTAAGCCGAGCCTCGTTTGGTGGTTCAACGGGACCATTCTGGACAGCGTGATAGACTCGAGCAGAGATTCCTACACCACTGTAAATCAACTTGTGATAACCTCTACCCCGAGGTACCTAAAGGGGGCTCAGATCAAATGTATAGCTTCTTCGTCTGAAGCCGCCGGTTATATTTCTAGAGAAATACCGCTCACAGTATTCCGTAAGTTCTTAATGATATAATTTGTCATTTGTGAATCATGAATGAAATATAATATTGCACTTCAGTTCGTATTCCAAACGATTATCTCCGGGTCAGTTTTTTTTCATTATTTGCAGTAAAGCCGAATAAAGTGAAGATAGTGAGTCCGAACGATCTGCTGTCCATCAGCAAGTCGCAGAACATAAGATGCGAGACCTCGGGCTCTTATCCACCTGCCAAACTAACTTGGCTACTTGATGGAAGGGCCATTAGGAACGCCGTTGTTACAGTAAGTGAGTTACAACGTGTTACACATTCGACATTCGAACTAATTTTAGGTGCGATTTCAGCACTCTGCCTATTGGCATCGCTTTCAGCGAAAGTATAGTTAACCATTACTAAAACTTTGCCATTATTTTACTTTGAGATAAATATTAATTTTAGGTTAAAAAAATTTCTGAATAGCTAAAACCGTGGAGGTAATAAGCGCAATGTAAAAAATTATTCACAGTTTTGAATTTAGTATAACTTCTATCAAAAGTCTCAAAGAAAAGAATCAATTCTAATTTAAATATTTTACCATTTATTTGATGAACCTGTTAAATTTTCGATTATTTAAATCGTATATTAGTCCAATTACCCAATTTCATTGCAACAACACATTTAAGGAATCATGATCTACAAACAATTTACCAGCACTCAAAACTAATACTTTCTAATTAGATATTCTGACAAAATTTCTACAAAATTTTCCATTTATAAACAGAATACAAGTATCTCAACAATGCTTACATCTAAATTTGGGTTAAATGAAGTATAATCATTATGTTTTACTGTTCTAACTTTCATTCAACTATTTTGTTAAATTAACAAATCTGTATATCTAGTTACAGCGGCAATTTTGTTGGTCTTTGGTTTATGAACTTACTTCGGATGATACATTACTGGTTTATTGCTGAATAAGCAAGTAGAATTAACTAGTTCGGAAATAAAAAAGTGGAAATTCTCCGAGTCAGCGAAATACTAACGCTAACTAAATTAGTTAGCGAATTTGAATGAAATTTTCATAATTCATTAAATACTCCGGCAAAAAAAGATTGATTAGACACGTTTTTATGGGAGTTGTGCTTTTGGCTTACTAAAAAAACCAACTGAAATCATAAAAAAGTTACTAAAATACTCAAAAAGTGTTAAAAGCAGTTTTAAAAACAGATAATTCATCAGAACCATTAACAATCCAAGTTGCAAAATGCTACTTTTTATTACATTTTTTGCACATTTTGCGGAAAATGAAATTATAAATCCATCGTATTTCCGCTTGTTATTTCTCCAAACAAAATCCGTTCAAACCGAGCGACATGTTTATAAAAATATTTTCCCGTCCTTGTTCGTTTATTAATCGTCGTTTCACTTTTTCCAGGAGGAAGAAACGGAAAGTTTCACAGGAAGCATTCTATCGCTTAATGTGGCACCAGACGACGACGGCAAGGATCTCGTGTGTCGAGCAGACAATCCAAGATTTCCCGGGGGACACGCCGAGGATCGGAGACAGATACATGTTGCTTGTAAGTCCTTAAGCTGCACATTTCGAATTCGTTAAACAGCAACGATCGCCGTGTAGGGGGAAAACGGACGAACTATAATCGACGTTAAAATATTTAAAAATATCCTGATTACATCGGAGAATCAAAAGCAACACGATAAGAGATCTTATTGTGTTTAAAATTTTATATCGTTTTTGGCTCGCTGTTCGTGTTTTCTGCTTTTCTGCTCGTATTTCTTCGTTCAAAGTAACTACACGTTCCTTATTTAGGCAAATTTAATGGCATTCTTTGTGCAATTTTCAACACATCGAATAAACGTTTGTAATTAGTCTTTATTTGATAAAACATACATTTACATTCCCTAATGACTTGATATCTACTTGTTGTTTTGATAAAACCTTGGTAGTTACAAAACTGGTGTCACGTAAGGTAATTAAGGTTAATCGGCTGGTTGGTAATAAAAACATGTATAATTTTACTTACTCGAAGTACACACAACGAATTGATTAATTAATAAACCTAGAATAGGCTATCATTTCCACAGTTAACTAATGAATGTTGTATTTTATAGGTACATGTAATATTAAGAAAGAATATCAATTCCAAAATCTTGAATAAGAACTGACGATTTTCTAGTGATATAGAAATTATCATTGAATGGCTAATCAATATTATGGAGTATTAAAATAAATTCCACACCACAAAAACTTTCATTTTCGTGTTAGTTTTTACTCGTTAAAAAAATAAACTTGAGTAGGCAATTTAATCCTTGAAAGAGGTATCTTTATAGCAACATGAATATTTGTTTTCAATAAAATTTCCCTAGCGGATAAGATTTTGATATTAAACACCTTCTGGCCTTCTGATCTTTAACAAAACGAAGCTCAGGGGTAAACGCATCCGATAAACAGCAATTCCTGGCGATTACGCTCTCACTGATCGTTAAGTTCTCGGCGGAATTATATCCAATTACCGAAGTTTAGACTCCGGTCCTGGCGCTGATGTCTTTAACAAAGCCAACTACGGCCTTTTCCAGCAATACACGGCGCGAATACCGGATGACCCAGGTTTCTGGAAACCGAGCAGCACAAATGCCCTGCTTCGTATTCAACTCACCTCCGCACCAAAGTTTTGTATCTTCTTAACTTCCAAGATGGTATGTAATCACTTTAGAGGTGGGGTCAGGCATTATCTGTGAAACACTGATTAATTTGTGCGGGTTAAAAACACGCTGTGTAATTTAATTTCGCCATTCGGCGTTATTGCGTTACTGGGGATAGTATGCTGCGTGCTATGGGAATTTTCATTTGTAATCGAATTAAAAGATGAAACGGATTCCATTTCAATACATATCTTAAGAGTGTTCCTACATGTTCTTCTTTAATTAAATTTACATTATTCATATCATTCTTAATTAATATCTGAAAATAAAGTCGCGCTGTTCTCAAAATTAAGGAATTTCTCATCATCATTTGATGGAAGGTGGTATAATTAAATTAATTGATTTTAAATATACTTCACTTCAAAAGATATTAATTTTATAACAATATGGCTTTATAACTTACATTCGTTAATTAAAATTCTGCGAAACCATTCGAAAAATTATTCGAAATAATTCACTGCCTACGTAATACCGTACATTACTTCAGTCAGCGCTAGCTGGTAATTCGTAGGGCTACAAGAGGATTAACTACCGGAGTGCGCTACAGTCGTCTAATTCATTTAATGAACTCGTCATGCACGAAATCGGGACTAAAAGCCGCTCCGTCTCCTACCTTGTGTAAATCCCTTTAGCCGCGGTGGCCATTTTGGGTACGTCCGGCTCGAAGGACCGAACTTACATTTGTCACGCGGATAGGTAGAGAACGTTCGCCGGGGATTTACCGTTTATTTCTTCCGCCGCCTTTAAATTGCGCCGGTTTTTGTGATACTACTATATATTAAGCGACCTGTTTTATTAGAAACCGCTTTTCAAATTTTCACAAAGAACGTTCGAAAGATAGAGAGGGAACTGGAAATTAAAATACGGAATCTAAACGTTGACTATGTGAATTATTTGAAATATTTTCTTGCAGATCCTCCGAGAGTTTCTGTGGAGTTGGTCGGAACTCAGAATCCCGTCAGAGAAACCACTGATGTGACGTTAAGGTGTAAAACATCAGCAACTCCTCCGGCGGATAGTTACAGTTGGTATCATAATGTAAGTTAGTTTAGTAAGTGTTTAATTTAATATTGCCAAACCGTAAATAGGTACTTAAGTAGTTTATCATAGTAAAGTTCTAAATTCATTACTTACTTTATTTTATTATTTAATAAAATTGTTTCTGTTATACAGGGAAAAATAAAATGCTTACGTAATGCCGAATTCCTGTAAAATAGTAAATTCCCTCTGTAGCTGAACGTCAGCAAGTAAAGCGACAAAGAATCCTTAAATAAGATTACATGATTGTTGTCTACAGTTACATTCGCGATTCCTTCTTCTCTTTAATGAACGACTTTCCAACCAAAATAGAAATAGGGCAAGAAAACGTACCTTGACTTGACGCACAGTAACAGTAAACTTCAGACATTGTTACAGAGAAATTACTAGCATTTCAAAATATTTTTATTTACCTAGTAAAATTCAAATTTTAGTCGAAAACCGACTAAATACCTACCATGGAAATAAACGTCAAACGATACATTATCGTCACGTTAATGCAGTCAACCATTTCAAAATTAATTAATTCTTATCTAGCGCTCGCGTCGGTCTCTCGACGTAAATTTTCCCAAGTCATAAGGCGCCCAATGCAGGAGAAAAGCCCGAAGGAAGAAAAAACGAAATCGGACGGGTGCAATGACGTGAAAAGGGACGTGAGCAACGGCAGATAGATATCTGGCAAGACAGACACAGATAACACAAATCTACTGTCACCGTGATAGATGAAGGCGGTGACTGGATAAATGTGTGCTAAACAAAAAGCAAGTAGTCGATATTTACCGTGAAAGGAGCAATTGTTTATGTTTGCTTTGGCTGTTTCTTGAGATTTGTGTTCAAGTGGCAAACGTTTCTCAAGACATTCGTCGATCGATGGAAACCTACGCCGATATATATCTGCCTACGAAGTGGATTTTTATTTGAATCGCGATTCGAAATTGATTGAATAAATATACATGTATACAATGTATACATAATTAAATTATAAACTTTTCTATGGAAACCGCTCCAGCGAGATCTCTCGAATTTCAATGCCTCAAATTTAATTTTCAACTATACAAAGATAAAACAATCTGAGAAAATATAAACTCGGATTAACCTTGGAATTTCCACCGAACAAGTCAATAAATACACAATATCGTCATTTTACTAAAGATTTCTGAGGAGATATTACAAAGTGAAACAATCGGAGCTGATCTTTGATAGGCAAATATATTTCCGAAATAAACAGAAGTAACTTGAAAGCAAAGTTAAGTCAAATTTGTTCACAAATACGAAAGTAACGAACTTAGATCACAACGGTTCTCGACATCACTTAATTAACTTTTCTCAGTTTCATTTCGAGGAACTAATTTATTTAGATGTTTCCAAGGTAATAATGGAAGAATATTTGCAATTTCAATAAATTTGCCTGCAATTTGACTTCGAGTTTGTTTGGCTGTTTTTTTTTTTGTTTTAATGCAAGAACTCATTTCATTTGTATAAATATTATAAGAGAGAAATTTTTCTGTCATAAAATTTTACAATTATTTTACTTATTTTTCTGAACTAATTTCGAATATACAATATATTTTTTACGAGATTCTAAACATAAAACTTCTAAGCAGTGGATTAATAATATTACCAAAGAAAAATGTTCAATAAAGAAGAAATATTTGCGCTTATTAAGAGGATTTACTGTAGCAATATTTAAAAATTTACATCCAGAACGTATATAGAAGAGGTGCAATCATAATACTTTCAGGTCTCATAATATTTCACAAGACAGCAACGTAATCTCTTACCGCTAGAAAATAGAAAAGTGGAGTAAAGGAAATTACAAATTTCCCAAGTGGGCTCACGTTCTAACTGAAAGAAGAAAGACTTACGCATTTTAATAGATTACAGTCGTGCTTCACATGTGCTAGTTTTCTCGTTTTAACAACACAGGATTTGTTTCATCCGGATTTTTTAGAAAAAGAATATTCCAACTGTCTGGTAACAATGACAAATATGTATTTTTACCAACTGTATAAAATCTAAGCGGCGAGATTTCGCGAAAGATACGTTTCATTGAATATTTAAGCTAATCATAAGAAGAGAACTATTAAATATGTAGGTACTAATGCCGTTATTAAATTGCCCCATTTCAGGATTCAAACGTGCGGAATATTTTATTTATTATCGTTGTATCTAGTTACCTAATCGTCAATCCACGATTTCCCGTCATGATGCCAAGGAAAACTATTAACATAGTCGAAACGATGCGATTCGAGTAAAGGGAAATGTCACAAAGGCCGTAGAAGTTTCTAAACTTCTCTGATGACTATATAACAGCCTCCGGCTGAATCGAAGTAAAACGATCTTCCATTTTCGGAATTGTATGACTTACAAGATAACTACGTGCTTCGAAAGAAAGTTTTCATTTCGCTAACAAAACATATAATATTTTCGTTAATGGAGATATACGAGTAGATAGATATTCGCTCGAGATCATTTCGTCTGGGAAATTAATTCTTTATTTAGATTTTAATCACACTTTCATACCTTCAAAATAACCGGTCAGTGCAAATAAAAATCCAATCAAAATTCAGCATTGTGAATAAATGATAACGTGTGAGTGTTATATGGATTGCATCGGGAACTTCCATTTACTGGATCCATATTTTACGTAAAACAGTAAATCCGGAACTTGGTAGAGCTTAATGCCTAAATCTTAATATAAACTGATGAAATATTACGTTTATCTGGAAGGAGTCAACTTCGTGACGCGATGTTCTCATTTTATCTTCCTACCATCAGCATTTGTCTTCTAAAATGAACCACTTGATAACTGCATAATAGTCGTAATAATGGCGATAATTTCTGGCGGAGTTCTGTTGATAGCAATTACACTGAAATTAAACTAAACTAAATCATCCAAACGCAGGGTTGTCATTGCAATATTCATTTTTATTTCCAGAGTCATTTAATTCCGCACAACACAACAGCAGGAATTCTTCCGGAAGGGGACAGGCTATTTTTGAAGAACGTCAAAGAAAGTTTCGCAGGATATTACGCGTGTTCCGCCAAAAATATCGAAGGAGAAACGTACAGTTCGCCAATGGATCTTATTGTTCAATGTAAGTTTTAAGAAATGTTAGTTATGTTGATTTTGCCAAGTGAATAATTCAGGAAAACAGATTGCGCCCGACTATAAGCAGGAAATTGCCGCGACCGTATACCGAATTACATTCCAAGGCGAACGTTTTTTCGCTATTTCTCTTATCTGATAAATAGTAAGTGCGAAAGGGCCAGTTATATTTTACCCCAAAATAAATTCACTGTAAACTTTCCGGACAGTCTAATTGTGTTCGTGACAAAATCTACTCCAGCAAACTTTTAAAACACACTAACTCTTCTGTTTCATTTACTTACTAAAGTTAACGAACACAGAAGGGTATTTTTGCAAACTGACATAAAATTGTTAGTATCATTCGAAATTGTAAACGAATAAAAAGAATTTTTAAATTCCATATGCATCATCGAAACCACTACTGAAATCGACGAATTCTCGACACCTAAACGCTACACGTGTTGACAAAAAAAATGCATTCACCAAACGCCATTTAGCAATCGATTTGGCTAACAAAAGAGCAATCGGAATAATTCGCAACGTAGAATAATGTGTCAATCAGGCGCTGAGATCGGAATGCCATTCACGATGATGAATACAATAATTTTACAATTGGAACGGTTCTCACGTCGACGAGGTAATTTATTTGTTTGTCGATTCGTGAAATTGTTCGAATATAGTTGATATTTTCGATGAAGTTCTACTTCGGATTCTATACAGATATTCGGAAATTATAAGGTGGAGCTCTAATAATGCTATGTTAATTAGGCGATCATCTTTTAAAACATGGTTCTTGACAGATATTTACGAGCAAATTGAATTGGCCTACATACAATTGCCTTTTACATTGCGATATGGAATGTTATGTAAAATTTATTAATTAATATCAAAGCACTGAAATATGGTTCCGCGGAAAATATCGAGATCTGTTTAAATCCGTTTCATTCGTAATTTGCCAGCGCAAATGCCGAAGTGTTTGATTAATTCGTGGAACAATAAAATACGATACAGCAATTAATCATTCCAAAGTGTACAGTTTCGAGGTGGCTTAAAGGCCGGCCTGATTTATATATTGATTAGCCAATTTCGAAAATAACAAACGAGCCACCAAATAATATTCAAGACCTAGATTTTTTTGTTTAAATAGTTTCAAAAAATTACTGCGCAAATATGCGATTTCCTAGTTTCAATTATTTTACAATAGGTATCTACTAATATTTTACTGTATAGGTTCATTTAATTTTCAAATGCATAACTTTATTCTTCGAATTGTTCGCGCATAAGAGTACACGAATCGTGAAATCGTTTGAAAATGTTTCCACTGATTTTTTTTGTTAACACGTTTTTCAATAATTAGCACCGAAGAATGGATAACGAAGCTCCGCATTCCCATACTTTAGCACGTTTATCTCAAATTGTTTGCCGTTATTTCCTCTTTTTAGTCAGCTAATGAAACGAAAAGACCGAAATTTATCACGCGCCTTATTATTGTCGGATATTTTGTAGCGTGTAATCGCAATTGAAAGCAATTGAAAGCAATTAAATGCTGTACGCTTAATTACAATAAGGTGATTTTATCTCGATTCATCAACGTCAAATATGTTCATTTAATTATTATACTTCAAATACTTTCGTACATGATATATTTAAAATATTGAATTGTTATTTTTCTGCATGTATTAAATGGAAAATTTGTATGATGATATGGTGTTCCATTCTGTAGATAAGGTCTTAGCATTCGGCAGTTGGAAGTTCGGATGCGGCGTAATGACCATAATTCATGCGGAACAAATAATTTCAGATAACGGTATTGTAAGACATATCTGCAAAGTTCTCGCATATCTAACTCCTATCAGACATGTCCCCGGCATTTTCTGCTTTCATAAATAAGTGGGATTTATGACGACATGCACTCCGTGACTCCACTTCTCGACTTCACTCAGCTGCAGATGATGGCACCCTGTCACACGCCTACTTTTCTTGAATTTATCATTTTTTATGGTTTATGTGTAACTGTGAAAGCACATTTGGACGCCGCATCGCCGCGGTGAGATAAAAGATAAAATAAAACAAGACGCCAAAATTTGCTATATTTTAATAAAAAAAAGGCCTTGGGGGTTTTCTCACGTTACGTGTTTACCGCCTTTTTTCTACTAAGGGAGATATCTTTTATCCGAGGAAGACAAAGTCATAAGGCATTTGCTGAAAATACAATAAAAATGTGTGATGGGAATAAGAAATTCAAGTCGATATATACGTGTCTTGGTGCGAATTATCCGCAAGTGTATAGAGGATTATATTATTTTAATAAATTTATTCTACTAAAACAACAATAAAATTTACATACTAAGTGATTAATAATGAAGCTTAATAATTGAAGTTGTTGATTTATGAAAGCGCAAAAGCAATTTTTGCAATAACGCAATTCGGAAATAAGCGGAGTGTTTATGAGCTTCTGGTCGAAATAAAATGCCGTAATTTTTAGAGGCCTTTAAATTCGCACCAGACAAAACCGCAATCGTTAAACGGCTGTTCCGATATAATGCGTTCGAGCATTTTTAGCGGCCGCCTCCCCACTTACACCCGTTTATAATTGTCAAAGGGTTTAATTGTTCCGGCGTTTGTTGTTTAAAGTGTGCGCATCACGCCGGAATTCGCTGTCTATTAAAAGTTTTCATTCCTGTCGGTCGTTTTTTATCATCTATACCGAAAACGACCCGTCGCACATCAAATCGGCAAGGAAATTTATTTAGCGGGAAACTGCATTTTCCGAATTTTTCCCAAGTAAATTCAACCTTAAAACATCCCCAGACAACGTGGAAAAGGAAATGCGCGCCTTATTCAATTAAACTTTTCCGACTAGTTCACATGTATCGATACTATCTGCAACACTTGATGGCGGAGTTTCCTGAATAAAGAAAGTATGCCAAAGGGCATCGCACGGCCGATCTAAATTACACCTGAATGTAGATCTAGTGTGTCGTGGTTCCATTAAGGTTCCGTTCATACTGCTAATATTAAATCAATAGGCCTAATAATTAGGCTTTAATAGAATAACAATAGTTAATCAACATCTAATAATTTATGATATGTCTTAAATAATAAAATTGTCTACAGCATATACATACGTGTATACAATAAATAAATAATAATACATTTTGATAAGGTTTTAAAATATCGAGTGCTTTCTCAACAAGTTAACAAAGACTTTCTGTTAAAATTAATGTTAATAAAATTGTCTAATAACTAATGTGAGTAGGTAATATTTCACCTACCTACCTGAGATGTTAATGAAGAAATATGTAACGCATACCCACAGAAGTAGGTATGTTATATTGGTGACACTAATTAGGTGTTTCGAAACTTATTGTCTTTTTAAGTGGCATTTAAGTATTTTTTGTACTGAAGAATTTCACGTGTAATTCCGAGCAAATCCAACGAACCGTTAATTTCGGTATAATTTTCAAAGCTAACGCGACAAGGAAATTAAACGTCAAAAAACACTACAAGACCCTTTTTATATTCCTCTGCTACACCTTTTCACGCTTGCGGCCGACAGCATGTGCAGTTCGCAAACAATTTACATTCACACACGTTGTGAGCCCAGCTCAAGACAAAACAACAGCCGTAAAAACAATTTTAATTTCCTATTAAAATATTCCAAACATTATCAGCTGTAAAAAATTATTTCGTCATTGTAATTACGTATAGGTATAACAAAAAGCAAAAACAATAATAGTTATGTACTACTATTCTGATTCGTAGAACTAATTAATTTTACAGATACTTATAATCACTTTTTTTATTTTAAATTAATTTTCATAATCGTTCTTTAGAAATGCTTCACGTCGTTTTGATCTGATAAAGAGCATGCATAGCGCTAGAAACGTTAACGTACGTTTGCGTACATACTACTTCGCATTTACCACAAGATGGTGATCGATAAGGCAAACACAATCAACCAAACATCAGTAATTAACTAAACAGCAATAGCTAGTAATTGTTTTACTGCGTGCCGGTGGACGATAGACGAATTGTTCGAGCGAAACATTGATATTAAAAATAATTTTTTGGATCCGAATGGCAAATTGTGTCGAAAACTTGCCCGATGGTAAATTAAATATCTAAAATTCCGGATCATCCGTCTAGCGAACGGAATTAGAAAATAATGGCTCCGAGCGAATTATGTAACTCTACATCACAGAAGGCAGTCTGGATACCTTCTGAGAACTAAACTTCTGTTCCGAGATAATGAAATGTCTTCTGTCTACTGTGCGCCGTTCAATATCTGCTCTGTGATTAAAATCGTTCTTCTCACGGTTATCTGAGCAGTTCGCCGCAAAACGAATTGAACAATATAACTACTCAGATAAGTGTCATTTCAATAGGTTCCGCTATCCGAACTGGTGAAACGAAGAGCCTTATCCTCTCAAAGAACTAGTTAATTACTTTAGAAATTAATTCATTGATTAACTATTTAATAAACGTTCCAAAAGTTTCCGTTAGATGCTCTCGCATTTATTTAGGAGAAAGTCTAATTAAAAACAATTTACTCGCAATAATTAAGTAGGTATGTTAATTAAAACAAATTGAATAACTTCGTTTATTGCTCCAATTCTACGTTTGTCAATACTTAGTTTTATATGTGTAGTACCTACCTATTTTTTCATACATCGTATAAACTCAAAACTCATCATTGGCCCTCTCGAATCACGTTTTCCAATAACAATCCGTTTTCCCTTTCAGACGGTTCGCAATGCAAAAAGGGCGCAAAATAATAAGCGTTCGTTTTCTCGACGACAGTCCAGCGTCACGTTTACTCGATGCGAGACGTGTCTTTTTTCTGGTCATCGAAATAGGTGCGAAATATAAAAAAATACGAAACTTCTCTTATAAAGAATCAGACAGGATCTAAATTGGCTTGTTTTTATACTACGAACGAAACCCTACTAAGAAGCACACGCGACTATATAAATAGACACATATTCTATCTAAAATACATATAAAATTGAAGATATACAACACTAATTTTCTTTCGACAGTCGAACCCCGTTGCAAAAAAGGATACGAAGCGATGCGAGTGGGAGCCTTGCCGTTGGAAACGTTGGCGGTTCAATGTCACGTCGATTCGGTGCCCGAAGTGTCCCGGTTTTCTTGGACTTACAACACCAGCAAGGGCGTTTTGCCGGTGCACGGCGGAAAGATCGAAAGTCGGGGCGACGTGTCGATTCTGAGGTTCACGCCGGGATCCGACGACGTCGAATCGTTGTCCTGTTGGGCGTCTAACAGCGTCGGGAGGCAACAGAGGCCTTGTCTGTTTTTTATCACTCCGGCAGGTTGGTATAATGTAGGATAGACATAAGTATAAATCGCCTGGTTTTCGGAATGTTGTATTAAAATTTAATCACATATTGAGAATTATTAAGTGATCTGTTTATTTAAAAAAATGGCGGAGAAATTGTACCGATGTGTTTACGCCAAAAAATAGCTTATACAGAAAGATAAATTTAATAGCCAAAAGTTATTTACGAACTATAAAAAGAAGAATAGGTGAAAGAGAAAGAACAATTTTTCTTGAAAATACGTTGATTCTCAGCAATGTTGAATGGCCCCAGCAGCAATAATGATTGCCAGTCACAGCCCGAGGATTATGCCATTTCATACGCGCCTGCTTCAAAGTTATTCACGAATTGTGACGTTTATTGAGTTATTGTCTGAAGGAAAGCCATTTTGAGGTTAGTTACTTCGGATATGCCGTTGAATTCAGGGGAAAGCGAGAGTTAATATTACGCGTATTTCACCTGTTGGTTAAATATCTAATTGGGCTGGAGAATACCTAATACCGAATATATTTTATATCAAGTTTCAAAATAGCGACAAACTGTCCGTAGCTTAACTGGTTGTCATGAAAAGTTTATAAACCTGTCATTAATTATACTGTAGTTTAATCGAAAATTATTGTACGATAAATAGGTACTGCAGTTGTAGTCATGTGAGAGTCAATAACAAATCATGCAGGACTCGTAGAAATTATGTATTTACCTGCCAATTTATAAAGAAACAATTATATAGTCATGATAAACTTGTTTAATTAAGTAGGTAAATCTAAGTCCCAATGAGCATTATTGTAGTAAAGCATGCTCCAGTTCTGGTGCAAAAGATAAATTGATGTAAGTGCACTTTCATGTAAGTTATATACATAAACTGAGATCTGGCCCAAACGACTCAAACGTGCTTTACTTACATTGGTTATCTCACGACCGCTATTTTTTCATTTTGCCTTCACCACAACTATCATAGAATAAAAGGAAATCATGGAACATAAAGAGAAATTTAATACAAAACAAAAACTACCTAGTACCGACTAAATTCAAACCGCCGATATAATTAATAGCATCACAAAAGAAACTTTTCATTCGATTTGGCAAGAATTCGTGAATACTTTGGCAAAGAGCGCGAGAATTAACGCTAATTTCCAATGATATTTTTTCCTCGAAATCTCGATGCTCCTTGCGGTTTCGACTACTCTAACATCAAGTAAGTGATTACCGTCAGATAAGTACTTTGAATATTCATAAGCCGAGAGAGAACTCGAGAGATGCGAATATGGTAATGAAATTACTTCGACTCATATTATCAAATTTTCGTAGTGTATAAACTTCCCTTCATTATTAAACTACCTAATTTTAAATATGATGAATTTAATTTTAGACGCTATGTTGCAGACAATGAGGGCTAAACTTCAATTCGATGGATATAATATTCAGAAATGAGTTTCGAAGTAGCAGGGAATATATGTATTTGAGTCGAAAGGGATTAGAAAATGTAAAGGGATTATAAGACGTATAATTTTGAGTGTAGTATAAGTTTTTTGACATACTAAATTAAATCATAAATATGATACGAAAGTTAAGTTCCTTTTGAATTATTATTTATTAATATACGGAAAAACTCGTATATTGGTTTCAAACCAATTTGCATTTATCTGTATAATATTTAGTTGATTAATTTATTTGGTGGTGGAAATATGAAAATTCACTAAAGAAAAAAATAATTAGACAAATTCGCTAGAGAAAATAAATCATCATTTACACAGTATCGACTCATCTATTTGATTTCGAAAAGTTCATTCGCAAAAACCCCGGAATTATTAATTTACATACTAATATTCAAATTTCATAAAGTCCTTATCGCCGCTTCCGGCATTAAGCGACGACTTCCGTTCGTAAACTTTTCTTTTAAGAAGATTGCGAATTTTCAGAGGCTCCAGAATCGCCGAAAAGTTGCCTTGTTAGGAACGCGACGAACGGCGAGGGCTTGGAGGTGTCTTGTATCGCAGGCAAAGACGGCGGCCTACATCAGAGCTTCATCTTGGAAGTTTTCGACGTATCCGCTCCCGCCGATCCCCAAGCAGGTGTTACCACCCTCAGCGATCAAGGTTAGTGCAAACGACTGTGGAATTTATAATTAATTCACCCCTTACACGGGATAAACGTAAGTGTAGGCATTTCGGTAAATTTAATTGAATTATTCTATTCGCGTAAGTTGTCGATAGCATCGATATGAAAATAAAAAAAATGTAATTCCACCTGCGGTATAACCGGCATTTACTCGACTAAATGCTCGAATGCGTTAAAGAAAAATCATCAACCCGGCGAGTTTTAGCGAGTTCGCCGTTTTTCTGATGAACTACTTCAGAGCAGTTTCTGGTTAGTGATTTTAAGATTGCGCTCTGGAATATTTTGTCTAAAAATATGCGATGTTGTCGTCAGTGAATATCAACAACAAGGCGATGACTACGTGTTCCGGATACCTCGTTTATTCAATTCCTAAAAGCGCGGTAAGAGCAACGCTAGCATTACATTCAAGGAGTTCGTACGTCGTTTCCTGTTCTATACGTTCGTAAAAATTAATGAGATCAGGCGTTTTACGTAACTCGCATCTAGGTAAAAACTATTCTGCTCGTATCATAAAGCCGTTCGAAGTATAAGTGCATAATTAAAAAATAATAGACACATATCTATCTACGAATTTCAGTAGATAGTTTGTTCAAATGAACCTAATTTTTTGTAGGCGATCTACCACCTCCAAAATATCGTGTTCTAGGAGAACGCCCGCTGTTTTATCTACACAATCTTCAGCCCGGCAAGGATTACCAAGTATCTGTGTATGCCGAAAACGCTAAAGGAAAAAGCCACCCACCTGTGATATTACCTAATGTTAGAATAGACAATCAATTGACATCTCTCTTCTTTAACAACGAAGGTAAGTACCCCGAAATGTACCTGGAATAAAACAAACACTAGATAACATCTATTTTCGTGTAGAAACTATAATGTTTAAATTAGCCTGATACTTTACGAAGCACCCATGTTTTTGCTTTAAAGGTGTATACCAAATTTATTAGATAAACAATATTAGATACAGACAATTAACCCAGAACCGTTGACTTTTCGTTGAAGGTACATTCCGTGTAGTCTGTAGGGCGTTTAACATCCTCTAACCGCGTATGTGCATTAGGAAAATCGACTCGAAAGTAGACGTTGACAAAGCCTGCGTTGAAATTTCCCTGCCAAAGCGGCAGGTCGCTCGGGGAAAAGGTTTATTTAATTAAGGCCGACACTAACAATAACCGAATACGCGTTCCGAATGTCTTGAATTTCATCTCTAAATGAGCGTATTCGCATGGCGAAATTCTGCTAACGATCGGAAATTAAACAGCCGTTAAACCGAATTTTGCATAATAATTAACGTGAATTCCAAGGTGCTATTGGTGAATATTTTTCGACATTCTCTATTTTGCTTATTGAATACCTAATGAAAAGAAAAATTTCCATTCGAACGTTTACTGATGAATGGAATACACAAATAAGGAATTGCATTTTCCATGCGGTGGGAAATAGCTGAATTTAATCCGCAGTAATAATTTCCGTTCAATTAATCAATTCCCATTTTCGGGATGAAACAGCCGAACCATTAATACGTATTAACAATTGGTATCCAATAGCCGAGGAAGATCTTAGTTTCCAGAAACTACAGCTAGGGATTTGGAAAAATAATGTGTAGGTACATTTCAAATTTTACTCTTCACTGAATACGAGTATTATATTGAATATTCACACCAACAAACTAAAATAATCAAATAATTTTCTATATTATTTTTAATTTATATTTTATTTCATGAATCCGCGTCATTAAAAACACGACCGAATAACTTCTCAAATTCTTTCCATCAACGAATCTGCTTCTTTTAATAAACCGGTATCAATATTTTCCGTAAATATAATTATGAAACAAATTTGAGAGTCTTGAGAAAAAAGTTGAACTCATAAGGGATGCTGATGCTACTGCGGATTTCATTAAGAGGTTAATATAATATTCAGAAACATTTCAGATGAACGTGTATGCATTTGTAAATATTTTTATTTATTTTTTTGCAACCGAATGAGTAATTTTAATTATAAATGTCAGTCCATATACAGTGAGGGTTATAAATTTTTTGCATTACATTACAAAATTTAGGAAAACGTTCGAAAACCTTTCTCCCTTCATACTCTCTATTTTTTCTATGTTAATAGCTAATTATTATAACGAAATTTCCATGTATAGGTAATACGCATTGTGTTTTGCAGATGTTCCCTCTTCAAATCCTGCTGCAGAAGCATCTCCTTCAAGCGTAAATCTCACAGTTATCGTAGTGAGCTTGGCTGCAGCTGCAGTCGTTCTCATAGTTAGCATAATATCAGTGGCGGCGATTCTAGCTTGTCGTAGGCCCGGCGTCGTTCGAATGCGGCGAAGGAGCAGCAAACCACCGGAAGAATTCGACCTTTCCGAAGCCGGTTTCGGCGAAGGGTTCCACAGAAGAAGCGCCCAATACAGGGCGAGCATGTACGGCGAATGCGAAGAAAGGATATCCAGGATGATCGAAGGTACACATTCGAAAGATAAACGTTTATTCTCGTATTTAACGGCTCGCCCTCGATTGCAGTAAAAGTTTATTGTCGAAATTGCTTCGGCGTGTAATTTAATTTGTCGAGAGGAGAAAATCGCATTCGAACCGACTCGAATCGATGGCGAGTCTAATGAGTCTTTTCGGAAAAAAGCGGGCCGCAGAACCGGAGTCCAACCTCGTCAGATAACGAGCAAATTTTAATCAAACATCAAATCTCGGTCCCCTCAATTGAAATCCCGCTCGAAGTTGCACGGAATTACAAGCGGTATGTAAGTGAACCAAGTAACCAACGGAAAGAGTTCGGTCACCATACCATGTGCCGGTATCCGGTATACACTAAAGTTTAATAAATTCAATAAATCGTACTAACATAGGTACAATTTACTAGTTGAAAGTATCTTATAATCGACACTCATAATCGACACTACAAGTTGATTGTTACGCTTGAATTGTAAGCTTATTTCATTCAGGCATGCGAATTAGTTGCAACAACTAGACACGGAAATATTGTGGGCAGTCTTTTGGATTTCACCGGAAGATGCCGTCCTAGCGAGGTATTGGGAATTAACGGGATACGAAGCTTCGCAAGCGAACTGGATTCCATTGATAAGGTTTAAAGATTTACTCTACACATTCAGGGACGGGGAAAAATACCTCTTTAAAGATTTATTCGAGGCCGGTTATTTACAGTACCTACTGCCTTTATGACTTGAACAGTTACAGTTTGTTAATCAATATGTTTATAGGAAAAATTCGTTAGGAAAACTAATGAATATTCAAATTTATGAAGAATGGAATAATATGGGTATGGATTTTTTTAATGTTTAATGAGAGGAAACTGATTAATTATTCATTAAGAATTCGATTCGATCCGATTCAATAAAAGATGAAATGTTAAGAATAAAGAAGCTAGCCAATTGATATACTTAATAATTATAACCCCAATATATTGCCAAATTTTCGTCTTTTAAAATAACATTAAATATTTACTTAGCAAAGTCACCTTAAGAGTCTTGTAAATCCCAAATTAATTATCCAAAACCAACTAAACAATCTTTTTAAACTACTCTATTTAGTAATCACTAACACCTTGTATCTTCTTCCCTATATGCAACAGCAAAACAGCAAACATTCCCTTCGACTCATTTGGTATTCTGTGATTTATAACAAAGGGCATAGTATTTTCCTATACCTTACCAGTTTGTCATTTCCACGTCCCTGCGCTCCATCCATATTGTATAAACGCGTTCCTTTCATTTGCTTCGTCGGCATCTTCCAAAGACCGCTTGATTTACCGGGCAAATACGTAAATGTGATACACATTTTCTCTCTTTTTCTCTTTTAAAAAATTACCAACGGCTCGGTTTCGCAGCGCCATATCCACGTCGATGGCTGCTGAGCAATAAAATTAGAAAATAAATGTCCCGAAGGGTACATGCCCAAGAAACGCTGATCGGCGCTCGCTTTCTGATTGAGATTTGGATCAGGGAATAATTTAGGGCCTATTCCCGGTTTCGAATCGCATCTTTAATCATTCGATTGATTTAGCTTTGGAATAATAATGTATTTGAATTATATTTCAACGCCGGATGAAGTAACACTAATTTTTCGCTACCGGTGAATTTATTCGACGGAAGTTCATTGTACTGTGTTCCACTAATCGCCTCGATTTAAGGGTGGATCGTTCCCATACAGGTTTTAATTATTATTAAGTACGTTCATATGTAACAAAACTCGGCGATGTTATTTAGCTAAACAGAACTGGAGTCGATTACAACCAACGCGTGCCAGCCCATTTAACGTTTATTGCGGAGTATTGCTGTTTCAACTGAAGAGGACGAACCGCTGCGGAATACGAAATTTTCGCAGACCTAATTTGACGACTTTATGGCCGACTCCAAGTGATTCCGGCCATACAGAGTGCATGTTGATTAGGAGATGTTAAAAAGTTGCAACAAAGTTTAATTGATCTCTCGGTCTAATGAAATTTTTAACGAGATCCTTCGAAAAAGTCGGCGCTTTCGTGCCTATTCATTGTCGAGTATTTTCTGTTAGAGGAAGTTTTTAAGTGCGATTTGAACGTCGAAATGAATTCATACGGCACTTCTCGCCTGTTTTCTACGAACCGTGTTTATCTTTTAACTACTGCTCGAGTCGGAGGAATGAATTTCGAACGACTCGCTAACGTTGAAACGTCGATGTGGAGAGAGAAAACGATGATAAGATTAACTGATTTTCTTATTTGAGGCGGATCTTTTCAGGCTTCGGTAAAGCTGTAGGCGGTGTGTGTAAATGATTGGAGGCCGAGTTTGCGAGTGTTGCTTTATTATCAAATGCCATTCGAACTGCTTTTTTACGATTCGACAAACGAAAAAAAAAGGAATGTTAAAACATGTTAGTATTATCAAAATGAGATGTTTCTCAATTTCATTTTTCATGTATTTGGTAAAAAATGGAGAAACAATTTTAGATCTGCTGTTATCACGATGCTTCCATTCTTTGCCTAACATGAGCAGAGGTGAAAATAATGACATTACCTATTTCCTTTTACCTTCTTTAAATTGGATCACGAATCCATGAGGTGTTTTATCAGATTTTCGTTTTGGTTTAAAAACCTAGTTAGAGTTTGATGTAAATTTATATTTTCCATTCTCTTTTCTCTTTAACTTAAATTTTGATTAATTTATGTAGGTAGAGAAAAATTTAGTTTCTTATGATAGAAGCGTGATTAATGACGGTATTGGTGCATTAAATTACAACTGAAAACTCTCTTGTACATAAACATCCCCTATATACGGCAATATTTTAATATGTAAATCGCGCTGTCAGAAAAAGTATCACATTTGAATGTCTGATTTTTGCCGAAGGGAGAAAAATAAACAAAAAATAAATAAATAAATATCCGAATATCACGAACAGTCTTTCGTTAGGCGTTCACAATGTGGCATCGTGCAAAATAATATCTGGCGTTGACACTTTCGACAAGCGGTCTGGCCAGCACTGGCTAAATAGAGGCCAAAATAAAGGCCTTCCGCAGACCCACGTATGCAGATAAGTGCCTCTGATAGTTTAATAGTTTTGTGAGGGTATAATGGTTTAGAGGGTTTTGTCGTTGCGGCCTGATGACGCTGGAACGGTCCGAAGTGGTCGAATGGTGAAAGAGCTACTCGAAACTCAGGAGGCGACCGACGTACAAAAGTGAACGAAACTCTTTAGTATGCTAATTTCGGATAGTTTTTATACAATTAACATTTTACCCTATTCGCTTTGCTTACATTTACCATATCATCCCGTCAATTATTTACATAATTACTGTACTTACAGAGCGACACTAATAGCTTCATACGTTGAACCATGCGCAATGGTTTATAACCATTTCCTTTGTATTTTGATGCTTGCGCGTGTCACGTTCCTGCCAACTTCTATTACATCTGTAATAACAATTCTTTTAAATTGTTTTTAATTAAAACATATCTATTACTATCGCATTTAGATTGTTCTTATATCATTATGAATTCCTATTTAATTATTCAAAATGTATTAACACCACAGGCTAGAATTTCTCATGCAAACGCAATTTGTGCATTATCATAGCCATATATTACAACTGTCGCAGAAGAGGACGCAAATACAGAAATTGCAAGATGGAAGGACGAGGCCTTAAGAATTGCATGTTCCCTGGGGAGGCGATCGTGGGCAAGAATTATGGGGACGCGCGTGTAGAACTGTCTACATTCTGAAACGTGTTGTGTAAAATTTAAATTTAAGTAAACAAGAGGAACGCCGTTTGTTTTAATCACAATGTTTGGTATGACAAGGAGGAATTTTGTTGTATTAGATAAGAGAGTACCTATAGAGGTTTTTGGGACAATTATCTGCAATGAAAAATTTTAAGAACAATTTTCATAGTTTTATTATTTTTTTTTAGGTCCAGATCTTATACTGTCTCCAATGACAACATCACAGCATAGTTTAGAATTTTAGATATTAGGAAACAATACCGACTCATAATTAGTGCCATACTTATGTACAAAAATATTATAATTTTAGAAGATAATATTGTCAATATTTTCATTCTTTTATTTAGATACTAATTATTCCATTTATTCCACTAAATTGTAGTAATTGTAAATATTGATTGTATGATATATCTGTAGTTAATTTATTTTGAATTAGTTTTTTAACTCCACTTAATATGTAGAAAATAATGTACATATCATTAAAATAATAAATTAAAAATTAGTGATTAATTATTTCGAACTTTTATAATTTCTTTTTTGTGATGTATTATCGAAATAACTGCTTTTTTTAAGTTTAATTAAATTATCGAATATACAGTTTATATGTTTATACTCATATTTTCCTACCAATAGTTCGACTCTATTTTAAAATTTAAATTCCTTGGATGGTTTATTTTGTAGAAATATTTTATTTAGCTTAATGTAATGAGCAAATAGTTCTAAAATAATATAGTTTACAAATTGTATTGTTACTTGTATCTCAGGAATTTGTTCAAAACAAACCCTTTTTCATGTTTCTCGCTTTACAAACGGTCGTATTTCGCCCCTTTTTGTAGTTAAGCAAATTAGTTTGTAGTGTAATCATCACAATAAACCATATGAATTTAACAAGAGTTTTTAATTCAAATATTTTCTAATTAGGCTTGCAGCCAGACGAGTGAAAGCTTTAACCTTCTAGTTTTATTTGGAAACTCCAGATCGTACAAAAAGATCTATCCGCAAAATAAATTTGTAATACTACTGTTTTGTGGTCTGAAATCTAATGAATTAAGCAATCGATCTTTGTAAGTTACAAACTTTCCAACTGTTTGAAAATTATTCCTATTTTGTAGGTAATTCGGAACCCTTTTCAATAGCATTGTCTCAATTCAGTTTTCCTCCAATCGTATCGAGTACCAGCGAGTCATTAAACCTATTCAGTGAATCGTAAAGACACTAATGAACTTAATTGTTAGTCCTTCATTCCCTGGATAAAAAAGAATTTGAATTATCTTAGGGTCGTATCCCAAATTTGTTGTCGGTTCAGAACGGATAATTAATATAATAGGAAGGTGTATAAAATGAATTTTGTGCTGGCGCCATTAATAAAATACCTGCAAAATGACTCAAAGGAAAGGTGTAATGTTCGCCGGATTTTAATATTAAATTCCAATATACACGGTATGATAATTAAATAAAATCGTTCAAATAAACTGCGTCTGGAAAACCACAACCCAAAGACATAAAATCAAATTTTTTAATCATAATTAAATATCGTTTCCGAAATCCCACGCAGTGAAACCGGGATATATGAGCGGCATATTGCTTTCCATAAAATAGATTTTATCCGGCCAGTTTTCATGCATTCGGCTTAGTTTATTAGGGTATTATTGAAGCCGATGTACGGGGAAAAGTTCTTCTGAATTATTGGTAATATCTGTTATAAAACTTGCGGTTGATTTTTTTATGGTTCTTTCCTGAAAAAAAAGAGTCGACTTTGGTATTTATGAAATCGAACCGAATTGAGCAGATATGGTGCGGATATAAAACTTAATTCGGTTTTATTTAAATTTAAATTTAAAAATTTGAGATATGCATAAAAGTACGAAGGTCTGAAATCAATTTTTAGAGTAAATTAACACAAGCGTACTATATTTCTATCAGTTTATATGCAGACACCGTTTAGAACTCTGGTTAATTTGAATATTAAATTTTCATAGTTATTGATTGAATAATTTAAGATGAATATATAAAAATGTACCGTCACTGGAAGGCTGAGGACAGTTCAATATACCTCAAGAGAAAGGTTATGCAGTTTCCTGAAAACCAACTTTCTCGAAAATGGTTTTTCGTCTCGGTTACACTAACTTTATGCTTTTTTATGTCATCCCCTGACACAGTTTCATCTTTCGGAATATTGTATACTTGTATTTCGCGTTCTGAAAAAGAATAAATATGCAAATTTAAGTTTTCTCTTTTCCTTCGTACGCTTTTCTTCGATATAAACTAGCCACAAAGCGGTTGATAAAAATAACATTCCTTATGTAATTCTTTTGGTAA